AGGGACATGGTGTAGGGGAGGACTTTGTAGAGTAGGGTAGATGGTTGGACTCGATGATCCCAAGGGTCTCTTCCAACCTGAATGATTCTATGATTCTATGCCTGAGTGCAACCAGGTGGGGTTGCCTTTGTTGATGGAGGAGACTTTAGGTGATTTCATCACCCCCTGGACGCAGACAGCCAAGGACAACTCTGCTGATGCTTTTCAGTCAAGTGCAGCAAGTGGGGCAGGGTGAACTTGAGCTCCAGAGGAGAACTCTTAGAAGGAATTTTTTTTTTTTCTACTCAACTGAAGCACAAATATAAGTGTAGAATTGCCTCACTTAAGCAAATCAGCCCCATAAAAGCTAAATGTGTTAGGGCTTGACATTTGAAAGAGCTGGAAAAACGCAGGAGGTTTGAAATTGCTGTCTGCATTATGCTGCTTCTCCAGCTAACATCCAAGTTGTCTGCCTTTTGTGACTACAAGAGCCTTATTGACTGCAGTTAACATGTATACCCGTTTTGTGAGTATAATGAATTTTTTTTATGTCCAGATTTTAAGAGCGGGGATTAAAATGGGGTGGGTTTTTTTCCCCATAGTTATCACGGATTCTGTTGCTGCTGATTTATGCTCTGTTTCTGTCACTAATTAGATTGCTGAGCTGTGTGAACTTGAATATATTGAAGGTCTGCCTCTCCTCAGAGTTTTAAATCTTTTAAAAAATCCTGTACAGGTAAGAAAGAACTAAAGAGGAAGCCAAAAATATGAACCTAGAACTGTTGTTTTGTATCACCCTAGAATCCAATTAGCCCCAGTTTCTATCCCTGAGAGTGGCTGGGTCATTTCAGGGAAGGAGTACAAGAAATAATGGGTGATGGTTTCCCTGGAATGTTTCCCCACCTTTGTCTGAGAACATTGTCTGAACCAAACCTGCGTGTGAATCGAGATGTTTAATATCTGCATGGCAAATCCATGAATTTTATTAATTCCATTTGTGAATCCATTTATGGGTTTGTGCTCATGGTATGCCATGATTTTTGTTGGGGAAGAGACCCCCTTTTTGTTTCCTTTGAAAGTCTGTTCTCAATTGTTCCTGAGAAAAGCTCAAAGGAACTCAATAGTGCCCCTTTTAAAATCACCTCTCTCTGGAATCTGTATCTTCTTTTCTTCTTTAGGATTTGCTCAGTTCTCATTTATGGCTCCCATCATATTCCTCAATTAGTGAATTAAACATCCATTTTATCAACAACAATGACACTTGCAAAAATATCAAAAATTCTGACTTTCACTCTGCATTTGTATTTTGTCCTGAGTGATCAAAGATAGTTCTATCCTGACTGTTGTGATTTCTAAATCATGTCTAAATTTTACGGTTATTTCCAGTGTCAGAGAGAAGGAAAAGGTTCAGGGTTTAACTTTTCCTTCCTGTAATTGCCAGTTTTATATTGGCTTCCATGAGAACGGTCTGTCATGGCACACAACAAAATTAGCATGAAAAAATACCTGAAATAGGCTACCTCTGGTCCTCCTTACTCTGAAGACCATTTTCTGTTTAGATGTCCTTCCCCTAAGCAAAGTCTGATCCTCTTCCTTTTGATTACTGTTTTAATAAGTTACACATGTAACAATCATCTTAAGACAGCTATTGGGTTTCAGTTGTTTTAACAGGACCTTACTGGTTTTAAAGCTAAGAAGCTTCATGAGCTTGTCAGTGTCAGCTTTTTAATTTGATTTTTAATTATTTTTTTTATTGTCTCACACATAGAAACCTATATTATGATGAATTTATAATGCAAATTCTCTTTTAAAGTTTTTATAGTGCTAGTAACTTAGAAGTATTAATCATAGTTTACTGCATAATCCCAGTATAAATAACACTTTTGGTTCTCCTTAAGTCCTTCCTGGTGTTCCAGTGAGTGTGGTGGTGATTTTTAAATTCCCATCTTGACCTTTTAAATAAGGTAAATAAGGTAGTTGCAGAGTTTTGGCCAACTATGAGCTTTTACTGCAGAAACTAAGCTTGTGGTGGGGGGGTCAATTTGTACAGTATATTGACATCCCTCAGGGTAAAAAAAGCTTTTTTATGTTGCATTGTATTAAGGCCAATTTAATTTCAACTGATTGAAATTAAATATTGGCTTGATGAAGTACTTTATGTCAAAGTGGAAACTTTGTCCTTCAGGAGCAGACAGATTATTGGCTGTCGGTGATTTTCAAGTTGCTCCAACTAACAGATCTGGATCTCAAGAAGATTTCGGTGGAAGAAAAGGTATGTAAACATCATATCATTCTGGAATTTTTCTAAATAAAGAATATACAAAAGCTGTGCATGCAAAATGTAGCTTTGGAGTCATTTGGGTGTGACTCTGGAAGTTATAATGGTGCTTGTTTCCTGTTCTACTCCATAGAGTTTTCAGTTTTAAATCTCCCCAAAAAACCCTGCTCTGGCTGTTTACAGTAACTTTCTATTGTAATAGAAACCTTTCCCTCTTGTGCCTCTTTTACTGTAATTTGGTTGCTGCATGTAGTATTTGGGCTCAAGCCATGCTAGAACTGTTAAGATTAATAGCTGCCAACTGGGCTTGGATTTCAGGGAATTATCCTTTAAAAATGATCCTGGAATTAAAAAAAATCATCCCATTCATCACTCCTATCTTTAGCTGAATAAATATTAGGGTTCTTGTTTAATGCCAGGGTCTCCCTACCATGAACACAGAGAAGGGACTTGTAATTTAAAGGACAGAGTGTAATTTACCCCACCTTCCCGAGACCTTGATCTTACTCTTGGTCTTCAGTGGCAATCTGTTTTCCTTCCAATAACTTTTTTTCTTCTCTTTGGGTTGTGAAAAGAAGCTTGGATGACTAGTTTAGACCAACACTTCACTTTTGAATTATTAAAATAATTTCAGAAAATCCTCGCCTCAGTTTTTTTTAGGAAATCTATTCCTCGTAAACTCATCGAACTGAATTTGGGGGCAGCAGCTCTTGTGTTCAAGGAACACACAAAATGAATGTACAGAAATCTTGTAGCTTAGATCAGAAATGTAATTTTGAAGTGAAACTCCCAGTTGCCCAACTTGCTACGCTTGGTTCTCATTGCCACTAGAATAGTCTTGGCAACGTATGACCTAGCCTTCTTTTGGACTACCCTTAACCAGATGATGTGCACAAGAATGCACCTAATTGTGCTCCCAGCCACTAATTGAGACCAAAAACCAAATGAGAGAGAGAGTGAAATGAACTCCCTTCCCCGACTCCTCCCAAAATAATGCGGGTATTGAGTCTTGAGTCCTAAATGTTTTACTTTAAAGATCCACTCCTATTCCACCAAAAATAATACCAAAAAAATGTACAACTCATTAGTCAGTACCCTCAGGAGAGCTTTCAACAGAATGGATGGAGGGAACCCTTGGAATTGGAGCGCTCTTTCTTCCAGGAAAGACAGAAATGCATCGTCAGGAAAAAAATGGAGTTTGCTTACTTTGTTAATGTTCATTCTGTTCCTCTTCTGGCTAATAAATGAATGGCTTCAGTCTCTGAGGATTGCAGTTTGGCATCTTCCACCAGCACTGAGAGGATGCAAATTAATGGATAATTAAAACCTAAGCAAAATTGCTTTGCATCTTATGTGGCATCCTGTTTTCTTTCCAGTAAAAGGTTGAATACATTAAAGGTAGCTACGTCTGGCTGCCTTCCCCCCATCTATCAAATTGTGCTTAAATCCCCTGGAAAGATTGATGTAGTGGGGTGCTCACAGGTGACCCGAATCATAGAATTGCCCAGGCCGGAAGGGACCTCCAAAGGTCATCTAGTCCGACCCCCCTGCAGTCAGCAGGGACACCCCCAACTAGACCAGGTTGCCCAGGGCCTCATCGAGCCTCACCTTGAATATCTCCAGGGA